ATTTCTTTTAACTGCTTGGCATTAAGATCGGCATGAGACTTTTGTTCGCAAGTAATTTGGGAAACTAGCTTATTATTTAAACCATTTAGTTGATTAGCTAGAGGGATCATTTGATTCATAGATTTTTGCATACGCTCATTTTCTTCATAGGAGCGGTCTAGATCATTTTATATACTCTCATTTTCTTTATGAGAGGCGTCCAAGGCGCTTTGCATACACTTATTTTTTTTATCTAAGGCATGATATTTAGCTATAAGCTGTTTTGCGGATCTTATAAACTTTTCACAATCTTTTTTTAGCTGTTCTTCAAGTTCTAATCGGCTAGGTGGATATCAATTGGATGGAGGATTTCCAAGTTTACTGCTACCACTATTACCTACATCATTCAAGGTATAGATCCGAGGCATAGTTTTTTACCCTGCAAATATAGTCAGAAAAAAAATAAAATATTTTCGAAATAATAGGCTCTTCCTACATTTCCTAAATAATATATTTATTCCAATTATCCCAATAAATTTTTTCGAATTAATATATTTATCCTATTTATTTCATTAAATTATTTTCGAAATAATACATTTTTTCTAAATATCAAAAAGACTACGCTTATCATATTTATCCCAAAGAATACATTTTTTCTATTTATCCTATTTAATATTTTTGAAATATTTTATCTAAAAAAATATACCATTGTGATTATGGTTAGACAACGCATGAACTGTAATGCGCCTTTATTTTCACAGACTGATTACGATTTTATTATGCAACGTAAAAATGAAAGGCCGAGGAAGAAAGTTTTAGATGAATTGATGAACAAATATAATACATCAATGAAGCGCATATATCAGATTTGGAGAGGCGAAGAAGCTAATAGAATTGCCTAAAATCAACCAATAGCTGATATTTCTGCCGGATCTGAAAGAGTGGTCTCAGATGGATCTGCTATAATGCCATCTGCCAAAATAGAAGGGGTCCCAGGTATTACTTCCTTTCCACATGACTTACCGCTAAAGAAAAATAGCCGAAAAAAGAAGTTAAGTAAAACAAGTGTAGCCTCTACTGAGACGGATGATACTATTAACCATACTCTCTCTAATGATAATATATCTAGGATGGGATCTGAACTTGAAAAAGTATTAAAAGAAATAGATAACATCGGTAATTCCATTCCTTGAATCAGCGTCAGAGGTGGAGGATGTATATATCCTTACTACTTTTCAGCAAGTATTTTTATGACGCTTATTGCCTTACCAAACCACTCTTCAGCTTTTGCAAGATATTCTTCAAGCTTTGTACAGTTTATGTACTTTTTTTTAAGTCTTCTCTAGTCGAACTAGAGGAATCAGTGGATACTTGGACCTGCTCCTCTTTTGGCAGATCCTTGACTACTGGAGCTTTGCTAAAGGTTGGGATAATATATACCTTTCCATGTAACTTTATGCGAAACTGGTTTTTATTTGGCTCAAGGACACCTTGAACCTTTCGAATGTTTGACATACCAAAAAATAGCATTGATTCTGTTTCACCATTATCAATACGAACAAAATTTCCAATAACTGTAACCATCTTATTTTCTTTATCCTTCAAAGTAACTGACACGTCTGTATACCATCCTAATGAATCAGTGATATGCTTGGAATTGCCCTTTATAGCAAAATTAGATGGTTTATCAGCCTTCCATCCAAGCGCCTTGATTGCTAGATCATTTATACTACCAAACTCACTGACGCTATCTAAAAAAGATTCAGAAATAGTTAAGTCATTTATAATAGCATTCAGATATTGTAAAGATGATAACCACTCATCTGATTCTTTCGATTCCTCCTCCTGAGTCTTTCGAGATAAGCACATTTTTCGTATTGGTGGTGAGAGCTTAGACAATAGCTGATTATATGTTTCAGGTTAGCTAGATTCTAGAGGTAAGATTGCATTAGTATCACTGGCTAACTTATGCAAAGCGCCTCTCAGCTCATTTACCTGTTTTTTTTTACCGGTGGATCATACCCAGTCCACATATTATTTTCTTCATCATAGCCATCCCCATCATTTTCCTCACCATCTAAATCAGGAGGAACTATTGGTTTAAGAGGTGTAAAATATGACCGAGTGAAATTAGATTGAGCTATCGGTCTTTTTGGACAACTTCCTTTGCTATGGCCCGTTTCCCCACAAATTCTACATTTTTGTATGTAAGCTTGTTTCTGAAATAGATCAGCTAACTGATTTACATTATTCTGAGTTTCCTCAAGCCTTCTTTAATCCTATCAAATCTAGCAGAATTATTGTTTTGCTGTGAACGTAATCTTTGAAAATTCTTTACAGGATAATCAGTATCTAAATCTTCCTTACTAATTACACCTAAATCTTTTAAAAATTCGGCTACATAATAATTCTTAAGACCTTCCTCTGTCTTTAATGTAGATGGTGGACCTCTCAGCTGTCTAACGGATTCAACAGTTTGTGGAGCAGATACTTGGGTTTGCTGAGCCATTTGTGATTGTAATTCTGTAACTTTCTTTACTAATGCCTAGTTTTCAGTTTTTTGTTGTGCCAGTGCGTTTTGGATTGCTTTTTGCATATCTTCTAAAGATATTCCATGCTGTTGTGAGGCTGAAACTGGTGAAGGTTCATATATTTGCTGAGATACTCGTTGAGATATTAGCAGATCAGATATTCTATCCCTTTTATGTCTAGCAATTCGGCGTAATTCTATCTCATAAAGCTTTTTAGCTAATTCAGCCAATGGCAAATGTTCGCTAATATCCTCAGCTTTTTCAAGCTATGGAAGTGGTAGGGCATCTAAGAATTTTCTACGTAATTCTTCAGGCCTATAGTTAACTCGTCTACCTATTCGAATTATTTTTCTATACAATTCATCTATAGTCATGTCTCCCTTCGTGATTGTTCCATACATCATATCCTGAAGTTCCTCTTCCACTGTAGGAAAATGAATTTTTAGCCACCATATAGCTTGACCAAATTGAATACCAGCTACAACTACTGTATTTCCAGTATTAGCATTTAGTGCATTTACAGGAGCATTAGTAGGATAGCCACCTGCTATACGCCAGTCTTCATTCCAAGCATCTTCTACAGCTCTTAACTTGACTATTGCATTTCCTGGTTGGC